CAGCCACTACTTCTAAGGCAAAAGTATACCCTGCATGCCCTGATCAATGTTTTTCTCTATGTCCTAAGGAGCTTCATATTTCGCTTTGTTGAGAATCTCATGCCAAACTGGGGCTCCATATAGTAAGATGGGCATGATTGATTGTAGGATAACTGATCTTTTGTGTGACCCGGCGCCTCCTATATTCGGCATTATCTTATTAAGGGTCGAGGTCCTCTCTTCCGCATTTTGACATTCCTCTTGTATATGGTGTCTAAATACCATTTTGTCGTCTAGTATGAGTATGTAAAGTATTTTATGGTTTTCTGGGGTCTTAGGTCGGATCCAGACTTCAGTGGCAGTGCGTCGTGGCCAAGAGCTTTCCTTGTCCTGATTTCTTGATCAACGGTGCTTCGCTGAACAGCGAAGTGGAGCTTCGCTGATTCTCGCCGATATAACTTGTCTATAGCGATCATCTTTAGTAACTTAATTGTTATTTTATATGCGTCGCTCCATATGTCGTCTTCTAAAGCATTAATTAGGTTCTGCCACCTTTTCTTTTTTTATTTTTTATTGTTTTATTAAGTTTCTTTTTTACTGTTTTTTATACTTCATTGAGCTCGTAGGCGTCCTGGCTTCTCGTAAAATTCCTGCGAGCTCGGAGACACTCCTCCCGTAGGCGTTTAATCTTCCACCAGTAGGGTTCTTTCTTTGTTCCTTTTCTTAGCGGTGGCCAACTCAAGAGCGTTCTCTAGTGCCTATCTGAGTGGGCCAAGGTCAGATATTTCCTCTTCGTTTATTTTTCTGACCTCCGATAGTTACAGTTACAGAGGACGTTTTATTTTTGTATTCGTCTGGATCGCTTTCCTCTCGCAAAAGTTACGTTAATGTGTGTTTGGCTGGTCTCTCTTAAAAAAATTGCTTTATTATTGTTGAGTACCTGGAGGCCAGCCTGGGCCATACATTTGTTCCATATCTTCCCTTTTACGTCATTTGCGGAAGAGCCCTATTGTTGAGATTTAGCATTTATGTCCCTGGCGATCATAATTTGTTTTTCACTAATGGCGGTATTCATTATTTTTTCTATATGATTATCAGGTATTGCCAAATAGTTTTATTATGTCTTTCGATCATTCCGTCTGATTGTAGATGGACAAGCGTAGTTCCAATTTTCCTAATATCTCATATTTTCATTAATTATTGTCATAATTCTGATTCAAAATTTCGTCCTTGATCAGAATGTATCATGTGTGTTATAAATGCTTCTGTTAGTGTAGTCGCCTCTTGATTAGGAACTGGTACAATTTCCTGTCAGGCGTTCAAAAAGGCTGTAAAGAAAGATGTGCCATTTTACCACGACTTCTTGATCCAGGGCCTTTTCTACCGTTACATAAATTGCAATTTTACACCAATCTCCTACATCTGAACGGCAATTGATCCAGTAAAATATGTCGAACTCTGGAAAATGTTCTTTTAACTCCAAAATTCCTTCCCGAAAGGCTGCTATAAAGTTCTTATAATACACTTTTAAGGTATGATTGTAGCAGTACCACTTGTTGCACTGTACGTACTCTATCAGACTCTTTCGCTTCCGATACAATAGACTATTGGAAGGATACAGAGATTCCCACTCAGCCCAATATGCTTTTATAGTACAACTGTATTTGGTTAGTTCTTACCAAATAGGTCTTACTTTATTTTTAAGCCATTCTCGTATAACTTTTAAGTCAGCATCTTTCTTTTGACTCTTTTTAAGGGTTTCCAGGAAAGTCTAAACATTATCTTCTCCCTGTATAACTGTGGTTACCTGGAGACTTGCGTCTTCAGTTACGTTCTCTTTATCTTTAAGTTTTTACAGCACAGGTAATAGGAATGGTGCCCAATAGGAAGGAGGAAAAGAGGTAGACCCCGAAGATCATGGAGGGATGAAGTGGACGAGGCCATGGAAAGACGAGACCTTAGAGATGGAGAATGGCAGAACATAAAGGACTAGAAACGTTTGCTGAAAGAAGGAAGGCGGCTGTAAAAATTCTTATATAGATAGAGACAGGTATTGTCGTTCTAAACAGGGTCGCCTAGAAAGAATATCGTCATTGTTATGGAGACGCTCTTTTTTATGTACTACGTCGAAGTTATACTATTAAAGTCTCTCTATCCATCTCGCAACTTGTCCGTCTGGCTTTTTAAAATTCCTGAGCCATTGCAATGTGATATATGGTCAGTTCTAATTATAAAAATTTCTGTTATAAAGAAAATTATGAAAACGTTCTAGGGCTTCAATAATAACTAGAAACCCTTTTCTATTTACACAATAATTTCTTTCAGCCTTTTCCATTGTTTTTCTAAAATATGCAATTTTGTCTTCGCCTTCCTGTTCTTGTGATAATATGGCCAATACCATACTGAGATGCGTCATAATCCAATAGAAATTTGCCTAAGTTTCCTCGTAGATAGCCTAGGATATGTGCTGTTGTAAATCGTTTTTTATCTATAAAGGCATTTTGACAATCCAGTCAAATTCAATGTTTTTTTAGGTTAGTCGATAAAGATCGATCGATTTAAGCTTTGCAATGCGGCCAAAATCTTTAATAAAATTTCGGTAATATGAATAGAGTCCAAAAAGAAAACCTTCTCTTTTTTTTATTTCCTGGTTAAGGCCCATCTTTAATGACTGAAATCTTCTGTGGGTCAGTTTTAACTCCTTCTACTGAAACGATATGTATTAATTCTCTTTGAAATACTGAACATTTCTTATAATTTGACTTTAACTTGGCATTTCGTAATATGTCAAATACCCCGCTTAAGTTTTTCAGATGTTCATCCAAGGTTTTGGATATTCAGTAAATCATCAAGATATACTAGACAAGTTTTCCAGGTAAGTATTCTTAAAACCATCTCCATTAGACGTTCAAACGTAGCTGGGGCATTATAAAGACCAAACAAACCTGGAACCTGTAGAGACCACTGCCAGTTGAAAAATCTGTCTGGTCTCGATCATCAGGACGTACTTCTACTTGCCAGTATCTGCTTTTTTAATCTAGGTTCAAAAACCATTTATCACCTGATTAAGTAATTAGTGAATTATCTATTCGTGGCAATGGATAACTGTCTTTTTGTCTGCACAAAAGCCAGTAGCATTGTCTTTCTTAGTTTCTAAGACTACTGATGAACACACAGGTCTGAAGCTTTTTCGATTATATCGGCATTTATTATGTCTTGTATTATGTTTTTTTTGAGTAAAAATGAGATGTGGGATCGAAGATGTGCAGAGGTGGATAGGTATGTGGGTGGAACAGGAGTGGGGCAAGCTTGGAAGGTGATAAAGTCTCTCCGGAGGGAAGGAAAGAAAAAATCGAACTTACAGTTAATAGATTTGAAACAGTGGAAATACCATTATGAGGTCTTACTGACAGGGGATAGATGTAAATTCCAAGAGATCGAAATAGAAGAAATATCCAAACACACACAAATAATTGACATAACAATCGGAGAGTTAAACGATGCCCTCAAAAGATCAAAAAACGGTAAAGCAGCAGGACCTGGAGACATCCCAATTGAGTTGGTAAAGTATAAACCAGAAATATTATATGAGATGTTGGTTTAACTATTTAACAAATGCTTAAAAGGCCAAAATATCCCTGATGATTAGAATATTGGATACATCAGCTCAATATTCAAGAAAGGGGATAAACGCAAATGCTCTGATTATAAGGGAATAATTGTTATCAGCTCAGTGGGTAGGTTGTACGGTCGAATAATAAAAAAAAGAATAGAATCAGAATATGAAGATATAGAACAACAAAATGGATTTCGTGTAGGAAGATCGTGCTCTGATGGTATATTCGTTCTGCAGCAGGTAATTAAAAAACGGAAGGCAAGGAATCTATCTACCCACCTATTGTTTATAGATTTAGAGAAGGCATACGATACTGTACCTCTGAAAAAACTGTTTCAAAAATTGACGAAAGTAGGTCTCAGTAGAGAGTATATGGATGTTATCACAAATATATACAAAAATGCAAGAAGTGTCGTTAAAGAAGAAACCTTTATATCTGAATCATTTCCAATAACAAAGGGACTTAAACAAGGATGTTGTCTATCTCTGCCTTATTTAAAATATATTCAATCATCGCTAGAGCATGTAGAAAACAGCTAGAAAACAAGTATCCGGAATGGGAGTAGACATAGGTGATGGTAAATGTCTCACAAATTTATTCTTTGCAGATGATCAGGTAGTCGTAGCGACTGATGAGGAAGACATGGACTTCATGTTTAGAAAACTAAAGAAAGAATATCAAAAATGGGGCCTTAATATGAATATGTCAAAGACAGAATATCTTAAAATAGGAGATGATAAAGAAGATCCAGAGTTAGAAATTAGAAACACAAAAACATGCAAGTTATGTTCCGTAGCCACGAAATTTATTTGCGACCTACTCCTCTCTTGCCTTCAATCTTTCCCTAGATGATTAGTTGAGGGATTGCGTATTTTTTTCCTCTTAGAATATGGCCGAGGTATCCAATTTTTCGTACCTTGATCAAATTGAGAAGTTCTCTCCCAGTTTTTTGCCTTTCTTAAGACTTCTTTTTTTCTCACACTATCTGTCCATAGTATGCGGAACATTCTCCGCAAACTCCACATTTCGAAGGCCTCCAACTTATTAATGGAAGGTACTCGTAACGTCAACTCTTTTTATCTAGCAAATGGTAAGAGCCGTGGGGCTTGGCGAATTGGTTTTGAATATTCAGTATAAATTCTATGATAAACTAAACTAGCCTACAGAACTTTCATAAAAATCTTTTACCGTATTATTATTATTAGTTTCGACGGCTCAACGTAATATTTAGTGGATTCAACGTAGAAATTTAGTCAAGAAAACGCGGAGGATACTTAAATAATAAAAGTGGGAAAAATAAAAATCGTTAACTAAAAATTTAACTTTATTTCTTTTATTACATTAATTTAAATAAAATTGTCAATTAACTAAGTAAATATATTTATCATATGAGATAAAAGTTTATAATTTCTGATCATCTACCTATAAATAATTTATATAAAAATACTTTCAGATTTTAAACCTTTGGCATAAGGAGGTGCATCATTGGTATCCAAATAATAGGTACCGCTTGCCCTAAGACAAAAAAAAAACAAATCAGTTAATACGTAAAGGTGCTATGTTATGCATGAACTAAACTAAATAAATGAACTTACCTATTCTCATTATTATTTATTAAAACGGAGTTCTTCCATCTCTAGTGTAAGGAATAGATGTGTGTAAATTCTGCTCCATAATAATTTCAATTTTTGGTTATTGTGAGTCGATAATTTTGCTGATTTTGCGTGCAGTGTGTAGTAATACAAGAATAAAAGTGTTAAGGGTAATTATAGCAAAGACATTGGAAGAGAGGTAAGTGCATAACCTCGATAAATTTAGGAAGGCGAAGGAAATTTTATTTACTCTCAACACAAAAAACTAAAAACAAAACCGGCCCAGGTAATTAACACTATATATCAGTTTTAAAAGCTAGAGGTGGGCGTTGCCACATCAAACCGTTCCAAAGTATCTGACAATTATTTTAATTGAAAATTAATTTATCCAGGAAGAAAACGAGAAAATAAATTACTACAAGCTACTACTTGAGAGAACTATCTTCCTTCGACGCGTTGAGTGGGGAGGTTAGCTCTATCGCGAGTAGTAGCAACAGAAATATGGATTCAGATGATAATACATCCGATGACAATCGGAAAAGAAATAGAGAAGAAGAGGAACTATTATTTGGTCCCAGTAAAAAAGTACAAAGAAGCCCAATTAAAAGTCACAAAGATGAAAACAAAATAGATCAAATACTAAATATGATAAAAAATTTAACAATAGAGTTACAAGAATTAAAAACTGATATAAAAGAGGTAAAAACGGAACAAAAACAATACAGAGAAGAAATGAGGGAACTCAAAACTGAACTAGCAGAACTAAAACAAGAGAATAGTAAAATCTGGAAAGAAAATGAACAAATCAAAAAGGATCTGAATGAGACAAAAGGACGCCTTGAAAGGCTGGATAGAATAAGAAAAGAAAATAATGTGATAATACAGGGAATGACAATAGAAACTGGAGATAGAAGAGTATTAAAAGAAGTGATAGAAAATTTTATGACAAAAGAGCTAAATATTACTGTAAATATAGATGAAGCAGTGAAACTAGGAGATAAAACATGTTTAGTCAGATTGCCAAACAAAGAAGAAAAAACAAAAATTATGGAAAACAAAAGTAAACTTAAAGAAGTGAAAAAAGAAAAAATATATATAAACAATGATCTAACGGCAGAGGAATTACAAATACAGAGGGAAATACGAAGAATAGCAAAAGATGAAATAAAGAAAGGTAAACGTGTCCAAATTAAAGCCAACAAACTTATAATAGATGGTCTAGAAAGGAGATGGAATAGAAACACCAACCAGCTGGAGGACCATCATGGAGGTGGTTCAAAAAACTAGCAAGGGATGAGAGGATACATTATTCGTTGACGGACGAGGCAAAGAAACAGGAAATAACTGCAGATAAACCCGGGCACAACAAAAGTGAAATAAAGAAAAATGGACAAGAAAACAAATATAAAGGACGAAGACAACAGAACAAAAAAAATAAAGAGTTGAAAATAAGCACATGGAACATAAGAACTATGCTAGCTCCAGGAAAAATGCTAGAAATAGGAAAGGAACTCAAAAAGTATAAAATAGATATTGCAGCACTGCAAGAATTACGCTGGGAGGGACAGGGACAGATTGACAAACAAGACTTTACAATGTTATATTCAGGAGGAAAGAAGCAAGGGCAAAAAGGCGTGGGATTCATGATACTTAGTCACCTAAGAGAGAAAATTATAAGTTTCAAGCCAATATGCGAAAGGATGGCCTATGTTAGAGTCAACAGCAAACCATTTAATATATCAGTCTTGAATTTATACGCCCCCACAGAAACAAGCAATGCAGACGAAAAAGAAATCTTTTATGATAAGGTCGAAGAGGAGATAGAAAAAATACCCAAAGAAGATGTCATATTTGTACTGGGAGACCTCAACGCCCAAATTGGAAAAGAGGACTTTTTACAGCAAATTGCAGGAAAGCATACAATACACGAAAACACGAATGACAATGGGCAAAGACTATGTAACCTAGCAACAAGAACAAATTTGTTAATAAGCTCGACAAAATTTGAACACCCTAAAATACATAAGGTAACATGGAGGTCACCGGATCAGAAAACATATAGTCAAATTGATCACATAATGATTAATAAACGAAAACAATCGTCAATAAAAGATGTAAGAACGTTCAGAGGTGCGTGTGCAGATTCAGACCACTACATGGTCACAGCCATTTTAAGACAAAAAGTTAAAATTGAAACAAAACAAAAAAACCAACATAAAAAGTGGAATGTCAATAAATTGAGTAATGAAGAAGTAAGAAAAAAATATGAAGAGGCAGTAACAGTTCAAATAAAAGAGAAATATAAAGTAGAAGATATAAGCACAGAATGGGAGACGATCAAAAAATCAATAGAAGAAGGTGCAAATATGCAGATAGGTAAAAGTCAGGCTAAAACAAGAAACGAATGGTATAACCAAGAATGTAGAGAAATAACAGAAAAAAAAGTGCAAGCCAGAAATAAATGGCTAAGAACAGATAAAGAGGAAGACAGAGAAGAATATGAAAAATTAAGAAGGTATGCTAAGAAAGTGATAAGGCAAAATAAAAGAAGATGGGTAGACAAAAAAATGCAGGAAATAGAGCAGGAAAGAACAAACAGAAATACGAAAAGTTTTTACAAAAAGATTAAAGAACAAAACAAAAAATACAAGGGCAAAACAAACGGAATAAAAAATAGAGAGGGAATAGTGATAATAGAGGACCAAGAATACAAGCAAGTATGGAGAGATTACTACAGAGAGCTCTTGACGGAGGAAACAACAGAAGAAGAAATGCATGACGAGGAGGAAACAGTACACGAAGAAGAAGCAAATGAAGTAGACATCGAAATTTCAAAAGAACCAACATTAGAGGAATTGGATGAAGTAATACAGAGAAGCAAAAATGGAAAAGCCCCAGGTAAAGATGGAATTAATATGGAACTAATAAAATACGGGGAAGGGAACTAAGAGGAAAAATACTTGCACTATTGAAAAATATATGGAAAGAAGAGAAAATGCCAGGTGACTGGGAGGTAGGACAGATCATAACAGTACATAAAAAGGGAGACCAACAAATCTGTGAAAATTATAGAGGAATAACATTACTAAATACAACATATAAAATATTGACATCAATAATAAAAAAGAGGTTATCAAAGATCACAAAGAAGACAGTAGGACAGTACCAATGTGGATTCACAGAAGGAAGATCTACAATAGATGCAATACACACAATAAAACAAATAATGGAAAAAGCAAACGAGTATAAATTAGAATTGGAAATGTTATTCATAGACTTCAAACAGGCATTTGATTCAATTAAAAGGAACGTATTAATGACAGCACTTAAAAAATTAAAAATTCCACATAAACTCAGAAAATTAATAGAAATGACAATGAGAACTACAAAAATAAGCATAAAGACACAAAGAGGAGAGACAGAGGAATTCAGTATAAATAAAGGGATGAAACAAGGAGATGCCTTATCAACGACGCTATTTAATCTAGCATTAGAATATGTACTGCGAAATATAAATAAAGGAAATCTCAGAACAAGAGGTGGTCAAATAATTGCATATGCAGATGATATTGCTATTATTGCAAAGAACAGAAAAATAATGAAAGAAATGCTTGAAGAAATAAGAGAGAAAGGAGAGGTAATGGGGCTAAGATTAAATCAAGAAAAGACAAAAATATTAAGATTAGGGAAAAAACCAATGAAGGAAAAAATCAAAATAGGAAGTTCCGAGTTTGAAGAAGTAGAATACTTCAAATACCTAGGAGTTACAATAAGTAAATCCGGAGAAAGGAAATCCGAAATAAAAGAAAAAATATTAGCAGCGAATAAAGCTTATTTTGCAAACAAAAGATTACTTAAAAGCAAAACACTGACTAAAAAAAGCAAGATGAGCATTTATAACACCATAATTAGACCAATATTATTATATGCAGGGGAAACAATGACGATGGTTAAAAAAGATGAAGAAGACTTAAGAATTGCAGAGAGAAAGATTATGAGAACCATACTAGGACCAATCAGAACAGAGCAAAATGAATATAGAAGCAGAACAAATGCAGAAATTAAGGAAGAACTTAAGGAAGACATTGTAACTAAAATAAAGCAATGCAGAGTTAGATGGTTAGGTCACATCTGGCGAGCAGGCGATGAGGCAGTGACATACGCAATGATAGAATGGAATCCAGGAGGAAGAAAGAGAAGGGGAAGACCGAGATCAAAGTGGCTGCAAGAAGTTGAAGAAGACCTCCAAAGGGCAGGAGTCAGTGAATGGAGAGGAAGAACTAGAGACAGGAAAAAATGGAGAGATATTGTCAAGAAGATAAGATAAACAAAAAAAAGACTGATCCACTTAAGAAATAGGATCTAGAAAGCATTTGCGGTTTAACCCCACGTTGGGGTGTATAGCCATTATATATATATTTATTAAAACAATGGGAGAAGTGCTTTCGCAGACCATATATACTGATTTTACAAAATAATTGTATATAAACTTTTGCCAAACCAAACAAAGCTTGATGTTTTGACTTTCACTTCGGAAATCATTTTTAAAGAATATTATTATCTATATTCCTATAAGGGCGTCTACGCTGAGAATGGAATTATAAATAAACGCACAGAAAACCAAGTATATGTATTTTACTAGATCGGCAATCAGATACATAGACTAATAATTGATGATTTGGAACAGGAAGGTGTGGACACCTTCGTCTACCTGGGCTCGCTGCTAACCAAAGCCAATAATGTCATCAAAGAAATTAAAAAAAGAATAGTGCTTGCCAATAAGTGCTATTATGGCTTGAGGAAATAGATGGATCCAAAACTAGCTAGAAAAATTAAAATTACCATAAATAAAACACTAATAAGGCCAGTGTTAACATACGGGTCAGACACGTGGTCACTTATACAGAACGACCAATAATTGCTTAAACGTTTCAAAAGAAAAATTCTAAGGAAAATATATGAAGGAGTCCAAGAACATGGTTTGTGGCGTAGGCGCTACAACTTTGAGTTATACAGAAGTTTTGGGGAATCTGACGTTGTAAAATGTATTAAATTAGCAAGCATTCGATGCAAAGGATATGTAATTAGGCGAGAATGAAGATACAACGATCAGAAAAATTTTCGGCCGAAAAGGACCAGTGGGAAGACGAGCCAGAAGAAGACCAAAACTTAGGTATCAAGATAACATAGAGGATCATCTAAAATCCGTCGGAGTTAAAGCATGGAGAAGAGTTACCAGAGACAGGGGCGAATGGAAGATTGCTCTGAAGAAGGCTTTGGCTCATAACGAGCTTTAATGCCAATGATGATGATATTTCTATGTTTCAATTTCGCTTATCTAATCATAAATATAGCGTCAGAGCATGTTCTTCTCGACCTAAAGTTTTGTTGTTATTTTGCTAATGTTAAAATTTATTCAGCTTATTTTTATCACTTTGGTTGGAATTAAATTTTTTTAATGGTTCCTTTACCGCTCCCGCCTCAATGTTTATTTCTTCGTTTGTCGTCACTTTTGGTGTTGCTAATTCATTGTTTTCATCTTGGACAAATAGGGATAGAAAGTAGTCTGCCCATGTTTCCTTTTGAACGTGTTTTAATTTTATTAGTTTGTTCGTCTCTTTTCTTTGTCCTCTGATCCTTTTCCATATTTCTATTTGTGTTTCGTAGAATAAACCGTGGAATTTTCTTTTTTGATATATTAATATCCCGTGGATTCCGTAATTTAGTCCTTCGACTCTGATTTTTGTTTGTGTTGGTGCCAATGGCTTGGGTATGATGATTCTTATTTCATATAATGCTAGGCTGAGGTTGCTACCTACATCTGCTGAGTAGAGGAATTTTAAGTCCATTATTTTTGATCAATGTATATCTCTGTTTTTTTCTTAACCTATTTTTCTATTCGAAAGGCCTCTCGTTTTTTTTCTCCATTCATCTCTGTTGTAGGTGAAGTGGTACCACATTGGTCCTGCGACTCTTTTAATATCGCTGTTCCAACGCATTTGAGACTTTTGGTCTCTTAGCTTCGTACAGTTGTCAGGATTCAGCTTCTTTGTTCCATCTTCCATCATGGAGACGTTCATTTTATCCAGCACATTTCCACTTTAATTAGCTGCTTACCCCGCGGCGTCCCTATCTTTTGTTTTGCTTTGTTTGTTTGTTGATCTATGCGTGAGATACCAAGCATCTGTCGTTCCATGGCTCGCTTAGATTTTCGAATCTTGTCCATGTTCATTATATTGTGAATGTCCAGATCTGTGCTTCGTAAGTGAGAACTTGAAGGATACTAGAATCAAATACTTTGATTCGAAAGTTTTGTTATATTTATTTCTTTCGGCCTATCCCTTTCTTGCTCGTTTTTTATTTAATAATTTGGTCTTCTTTGTTTACGTTGATATTTTGACACAGATATATGTATTCTTCTATATATTCTACTATTGTTCCTTAAATGGTTATCCTCGGTTGATAATCTTTGTTCGACCTTAGTTTAGTTTTGCTCAAATTCATTTTCAGTCCTTTTTTTAAGAATTATTTTTAATTTTTAACATCTTAAATCATTATAAGAAATTTTATAAACTAAATGTAATTAATTATTTGTTAACGGGTTTTTACCCATATATTTAATGGCTACATTCATGTACTCCTAGACACTGATGATGGAATATGGATTCCGAAAACGTTTTGTCTGTTTAGCCCATTTGGGTTCTTAATATATACCTTTTACAAAGGATTTTTAATAAATTTTTTAATATATGGTATACAGACAACTACAGGAACGTAGATTCCTTGTGGATAATTATTTTTGAAGCTCATCAACCATCCTCTTCACTTCTTTCTTCGATGATATTTAGTTATTCCTCCTCCATTCTTATCTGTGTTGTTATTATCCTTTCTTATACATATAGATACTTCTCATTCTGATTTTGGATCTTTGATGTATTATTATAATAAAGAAAAAAGTAGTAAAAAAAAAGATAGTTAATAAGATTCGCGTGGCTCAGATAACTATGAAGCGCCAAATTTTGGGAGTGTCTCTGAGAGCGAATCCCAAATGAACAAATACGTCGAAGCACAAAAACAACAGACGCTATCGAAAAAATTGAATCGTTAAAATGGAATTGGGCAGTACACGTCATCAGATTATCAGACAACCGATGGACAAAACAGAGCCGAGAATTTTAAAATGTGTTAGAAATAACTGGATGCAAGTCGCACAAGACAGAGACAAATGGAAAGAGCTGGGGGAGACCTATGTTCAGCAGTAGACTAAGCTACATCTTCTGTGGTAATGGTTGCTTTTAATATTTCACATAAGTTTGAGTACTTCAGCCACATAATGCGGAGCAAAGAAAGATATCAAAAAAGTTAACCAGGACACCGTCGTATCTCGTTAATGCTGAAAAACCTCCCATGACAATGGTATGGAATGACTCCCGCTGAATTATTTTGAAGAACGTTCAACAAAACCCTAACAACCGTGATAGTTGCCATGTAATATTACTTATCCTTAATTTTAAGTATCAGTATAAAATGTGTTTTTGAAATAAACAACTCATGTCTCACTAATAGGCCACGTTGTAATGTACCCGGTTAGAAATATTACATCATTTACTTTACTTACTTTGTATCTATCTTATTAGTAAACTGGCCCATTATGGACTTATCTTCAAGTTTGCACGTTCCATTTTGGTAACTGTCATAGTCGTCACATTTGTAACTCACAAACTTATCACTAGTTAAAGATTCAACGTAAAAAGCCAAAGATCTCTGGTGTGAGCATACTCCAGTTATATCGTTGCCACAACTGGTTTGGTTTTCTCCACCATTTGGATAATAATCTGCTGTTCCACATGGATAAAAATATCCATAAATAAGAGCATTTGTGTGGATCACTTGTACAAAATTAGCATCTGTTGCAATAAGTCGATTAGAAGGGTCCGATTTTACAAATAATGGACCAGCGGGATCAAGACCTAAAAATACAGAAATTTTGTAAGGTTTGTCATTTTTATACTTATGAATATAAAAATAAGTGTTATTAAAGCATATATATAGTTTATTGTAAAAAATGACAGGTTTCACAGCTAACTTTAAACCAATAGTTTGTGAAATTAACAATGGGAGCTGCATCTACTTGCAAATAGAGAAGATAGTAAAAAAAGTGCAAGTAGCAATAATATATCCTAAATAAATATAATCTAAATAAATCAGTATCTACAGCCTGAAGGACTTGCATACACCAAATATAGAGAAAAGTCGTCTAATATGGGGATAGTTTACCTAATATGGGGTAGGTCGCTTTCGCGCAAGTACTGATTACGACATCTATCCTGCACTGTTTACTAATTACCACCTTGCCAGAAGGTAACCATTCTCTCTTTTTGCACAAACTTGTTCTCTTATTTGACGTTTGAGGTTAAAATAATTTTGTGTGGTAAAAAAAGTTTTTTGGTCGTGCTGCATTTTGGCTGTTTAAGGAAATTTAAAGGTGAGTTTCTGAAGTATTATAATATTATTCTATACAAAAGTTTATGAAAATAGTTTATTTTATTTTAAAGAACCAAATTTTTTGCAAAAAGTCGCCCCCCATAAAAGTCTAGTGTGTTCGTACTAATATGGGATTGTAACATGGGGTACCTGGCAATTTCTAAATTGTGGTACCTAATGGTAGGTAAGATGAGATAGGATTATTTACCTTTAGCTGCATTGACAAGCAAACGGCATGATACTATGAACTAAAGATAAACCCACGTGCACGCGATTAGTCTATCTCTTTTGCACGTGTGAGGTCACTTGGCGACAAATATCACCAGAAATGTTATGTTTTGCATGGAGTTTTGTCAGATTTAGTATTGTTTTATTGTTTATCTAGTACGTTGACAATTAAATGTGTGCACTTTATTTAAATATATTTCAGAATATTCAATTAAAGATAAACTTTTATCGCCAACTGACGTCATGCCCATCGACGTACTACAAAATTCGATTGCGAAGTGGTTTTATCTTGGAAGTCATAGTATCATGAGCAAACGGGTGGGTTGACAGATGTCAACGCCATTTTCGGTTTTCCAGTTTTCTTGAAAAGTAGGGGAGACCGGAGTTTGTTAACTTATTTTTTCAATAAAAAAATTTTTAATGATTTATTTTTTGCAAAATGTTAAATTTAAGTAAGTCAGCTAGTTCTATAGTTCTTCAGGTATTGTACATACGTTTTCAATTTATTCGAATTCTCTGTAGAAGCAAATTTTGACTGCCTTGCAAAATAAGTCAATTAGCCCTGAGTGCGGGTTTAGTTGACTAACGGCCTGGGGTTGGTTGACTCAATATGTTCTTAACGATATCAGAAACAATTGAAAACGAAACTCACAAATTATTATCTGATTCATAACTGATGCATATGAAAAAAGTGATATTACTTTTGTTTGCGCATTTAATGTAAGTCCATCTGCTGCAAACTCATTTATCATATCTAGTGCTATTTTAATAGGGTTCCTTACATACTAAGCAATAAATTTCATTCTGGGTGTAGATGGAATCGGGCTTTCTTCCGAGAAAATAGGAGTTTGTCTCTTTTTCCGTGATTTTCTCGATTTTTGTCGAAGACCTGCTTTTAATAACGGCTTTGCTTTTTCAGTAGAAAGCAATATTGAACTTGCAGGTTCTATTTTTGTCGATGCGACTATGTTTGCATACAAATTTTTTGCGAATGTTCTAGAATTTTCGGTGAATTCTCCACGATCTTAGCTTGCTATACTGCTGAAATATTTCTGTTGTTTTGGATGGCGTTTCCTTCTTTATTTGCTGATGTAGGCTTGTCTGCCACATATGATGGCAATGAAGATACCCTCATTCGGATGACATATCCTAGTGTTACTGAACCCAGCCATTATATTGGTTGGCGTAGCAGTTAGAAACAGACTCAATTTTACAATGCCAATAACATCATATATGAAAAATATCTTACGTGGATTGTTTACCATCCACTTATCCATAGCTGAATTGTAGAATATCCTATGCACGTATTAAATCATTTATTAAAGAAAACGTTTCTTGAATATAATGCAGATTTTTATTTGACTGATCCTTCCCTGTCCTGGGCTAGTTGTTCGGCTTCATGTAACTCTTGGTTAATAAATATTTTTGTTTGATTTACTTAACGGATTGGAGATCTTCCGCTAGTTCTCTTTCCTTCAACTCTACCCTCCACTGTCAGTTTTTCCATCGTGCCTGTTCTTCTAGAAATGTGTTCATAATGCTGCAACTATCTCTGTTGTATTTGTTTAAGCAATCTATCCTTTAATTTAACTTCTAATATTGATACGTTAGTGCGATTATCAAGGATGATCCAGGATATTCTTAACATGCGGTGGTATACCCACATTTCAAAAGCGCCCTGTTTATTTTTATCCGCTTTCTTTAAGGTCCACATTTCGGATGCATATGTGGCTATGGGAGAAATCAGTGCGGTTACCAGCCTTAGTTTTGTGTGTATTGTTATGCTAGAATTTTTACAAATTGTTTCCAGGTTCATCATAGCTGTTCTAGCCCCCAATTTCTTTAATGTGTTGAAGATTATGCCGAGCTCAGTCTACTATCATGATCTTTGTCTTACACCTATTTAGCTTTAGTCCATATGTTTTGCTTTTCTCCTCCAGACATCTCATTATGTCTTCCATTTCTTCTTGATTTGCCGCAATTATTAAAGTGTCATCAGCATATCTCAAGTTACTGATTTTTTGACCTACTGATATTACACCCTTCCATCCGTCTAGTACCTTTCGCATGATGTGTTCGTTGTAGATATTAAATAGCGCTTGCGAGATTATACATCCCTGCCTGACACCTGCCTCTATTCTGAAATGATCGGAATGGGTATTGTTTGTTTTTAATGTGCACTTATTATTTTCATTTAGACTTCTAATTAATTGAATCAATTGGTGGTGTGTTCCCATTTCTGCTAGAATGGACCTTAGCTGCTGCCATTTGACTCTATCGAAGGCCTTTCTGTAATCCACAAAGCACATACACATAGGAGTATTGAATTCACGAGTTTTTTCGATTAGCTGTATGACATTAAGGATTTGTTCTCTTGTGCCTTTTCCTCGGACGAATCCCGCTTGTTCTTTTGATACTTTAGGCAATAGAGTTTCTTTTATGAATATAGGGATGAAAATGGATGTTGTACAGTCGATCTGCCACTCTCCGGTTTCCAAATCTTTTTGCAAATCATATGCATAACATTTACTCCAACTGTTGCTTTGCGTGAGACTTAATATTTGAATAAAATATTTGCAGCAACATTTTCATCATAATTACTAAGTAGTTGCAGAATTTCACAAGTGCACTCTTTGGTAAAAAATCCTGATTTAATTATTGTTCCAGACAATCTTTTTATGGAAAGTATTTGTCTTCCATGTTTAGTTTCGTCAACATAGCAAGTTCTATATGTTTTTTTTATCTTGTTAACGATGAATTGGGAAATCGGCTCTCGGTGTGAATCAATTTGCTGACAAGCCAACTTCAATGTTAGCATCAATCAGCTTTTCCAATATGGTGGAATATTTTTTTATGTAAAGTTGAAATTTATAAAAGAAGAAAATATGAAATAAGGTTCATTTTATGGTCTGCAGAAATCTCTTTGGGGTGAGTACTTTTATTGTAACACATATTTTATAATTCTGACAGTATTATTAATATTCATGACCACCCTTCTTCCAAAGGCACGTCTTCGATTTTATGCATGTAGGAATCTTACAAAACTTCATTAATTTTAATAATAATTCTAATTTACTGTTACGAACATGCATTCAGTGCGGCCCGTCTAACGGTTGCATCTCGAAGCGTCTCGGCATCGAGAACCATCGATGGATAGATCCCTCGAAGGCAAGAGAACAAATGGTCACGTATACGCCTAGAGGTGGGAACTTTCTAGAAAATAGTAACTTTGGTATATATTTGTAACGATCTTAGGAGTTAGTTTAGTTGATAAGAGAGTACCGAACTGTAAACTTATAAATAAATATATTTATATAAATTGGAACCGCTCGTTTTATTTAAAAACGCTACATTACTTTACCCTTGCTTAATTGTTTTCTTTGGTAGTCTTATCATTACAAGATCACAATTTTTAACCGGCTTCACAAAATATATATCATACATTGAGATTTCAAACGCTGCATCACATACTATAAAATACTGATGACATTATATTTTGATAGATGTCAGTAAAGAAACTAATGACTAATGAGGTCTATCAAAATATGGGAAGCTTCAAAACCGCATTGAAATATTAAACAGTTTTCCAACAAAAAGTGATGAAAACCAGATTATTAGTGTTTTTAGTATTTTTCCATAAATATAATTTTAATAACAAAAAACAATATTTTTTTAAAATCTACCATAGACGTATTTAGTAATTTTTGTGATTATATGGATTTAAAAAAATTTGTAGCTTACCTATAATCGTAGAAAACTTCGTATCCATTTTCTTTCCAGCTATTCCAGCAATATGTGCTCCAAGATCCCAGCCGATGATGGTAACTGTATCTAATTTTAATGTGTATTTGGCTACAAGTGCAGTAAGAAATTCTGCAATATATCCACCAACTGTTATCACACTGTTTTGGGCTTTAAAGTAATCTTTTTCAGTTGTTGCACTCCAATCGACAACAAAAATATTCAGATCAGTAACGACTCTAAAATATACAAAAAGATGCTCATTGTTAAAAATAGTTAAAATATTTTTTAATTAATAACATCATATATATAAATATATTTATATATATATATAAATTTATTATAATTATTATATGTAAACAAAATGAATATTTCAATACTTACAACTTAAGATTAAAAATTTTAAATTTTGATAACATATCCAATTAGATAAATGACATTTTTTTTGATTTAATTTATTTGGGAGTTATGGTAACCGCAATATTTTATAGAGTGAATTCCCATTGTACAATTTTTAGCGAATAAGTTTTAATAAACAATTACATATTGTGACAGTATTATCCATATAATAAGGTGCAAAAGTAGAATATTGAGAAAGAATCAGGAACATGGTAAATTGATCTATAAAATGTAATTGATGGTACGTAGTCAGTTATTGGTCTGATGTTGTTAGATATGAAGATATGAAGATCTATGGGAATTCACTCTATAAAATATTGCGGTTACCATAACTCCCAAATAAATTAAATCAAAAAAATGTCATTTATCTAATTGGATATGTTATCAAAATTTAAAATTTTTAATCTTAAGTTGTAAGTATTGAAATATTCATTTTGTTTACATATAATAATTATAATAAATTTACAGTTTTCTCCTGAAGAAGTCACAAAATCGTGACGAAATATTGAGAAATAACAAATAGAGTTTTATTTCACACAGACCAATTGCTGAGACTACAAATAATATTTAACACAGTACGGTCGAGAATAATTTGATAAATATATATATATATATATATATATATATATATATATATATATATATATATTATATATATATATATATATATATATATATATATATTTATCACTGATGTAATCCACCGAATAAAATCTTTAAAATGGCAGTGGGCGGGACATTTAGCAGAAGAACTGACAATAGATGGTCCACTAGAATTACTCTGTGGTATCCAAGAGGCGTCAAGAGACCAAGAAGACGTCCAAATTTAAGATGGGACTATGACATAAGGAAACAAGCCGGTACAACATGGCACAGAAAAGCGAATATTAGACAGTCGTGGGCAGACATGAAGAACGACTATGTAAGGGAGGCTGCACCATAATTGGTAGAATACGCTGATAATGATGATGATGATGATATATATATAATATATATATATATAATATATATATATATATATATATATATATATGAAACCTACAGCTAAGATTAATATTATTACAAAAATTAATATCAAACTCACCAGTCTTCTGGGTTGAACCGCGTCGATATCCAATTTGCCGAGCTTTCGACATCCTCTCTGACGTCTTCCGAGGTCTCAGTCTCCCCAGTCACCAGACACTACTAGACTGTTCACTGATCACTGCACTACTACATCTGATCAGTGAACTAATCCGTAAACAGTGTAGTAGTGTCTGGGGGCTCGGGAGACTCTGACCTCGGAAGCCCTGAGGAAGACGTCAGATAGGATGTCGAAAGCTTGTAAAATAGCTTTAGAAAGCTAAATTTTTGTATTAATATTAATCTTAGCTCTAGGTTTCATTGTACTAACCGCGGATATCTTTTCGAACAATATATATATATATATATATATATATATATATATTATATATATATATATATATATATATATATATATATTTTATATCACGAAACACTTTTTTGACTTTTTAAAAAATTTATTTATTACAAAATACAAGTTACGTGGTAAAAATGAATGAAATATAAAATATAATGAATGAACTACAAAAATATACTGAATACTGAATTAAGAGCGACAAGCGGTTTTATAATATTAGTAAATGCTGACTCAGTGGGAACGTGTAAAAAGCTTGGGTCCCGCTGACTCTGCTGGTACTGCATTTGCAAGGATCCTTATCGGCTCAGGTTGTTGGAAGTGGAACCTGATACCCTGGGAATCGTCGTGATAAGGAACATCGGTTGGTACAATGCATATAACAGCTCCCCCTTTTAGATGAAAGTTGATGCGTGGCAGCAACTTTTAGACTGTCTGTTTATTGGTGTTAAGTTGGATCTGCTCTTCTTCGTCTATGGCGTCGCTTAGGTGGATACTGGGTCTTCGTCTTGGAAGGATTTTTCTCCAATTCCGGGTGAAGGCTGTCTCTGGGTGTCTTGGTGGAGAGGGCGGATGGTCATTGTCATTGGTATTGCCAATTCCTATCCTGTATCTTCTCTTGGATCTGCATTTACATATAACATAAAGAACAACAAGAGTTACAATGACAACTATGGTAAAAATGGTGAACCAGCTCAGATGTTTGTTGACAAACGGTTCATTGATTAGTTTATCGAGTTCTTCAGAATATTGATTGAGTTTGTGATGGGCTATCTCGAGGTCTTCAGTATTGATTCTGCTAAGCTTCAGTGGTTTTAAGTCGGGAAGATGGATTTTATCTGGGAATTGTTTGCAGCAATTGAATGGAATTTGGACTGGGTGACTTCTGTATGTAACATTGTCATGAACGTCGATTAATTTCTGAGAGTGTACTCTTGTACTTCCAATAAAGGCATCGCACGTGGGTTGTAGTTTGAGTACATGGTTTGTGTAAATAATCTCTGATTTGACGTCTCTGGATTCGCATTTGATGGTAATAGGCAGTGGGTCAGAAACTGTTATGAGCCACAGGTTTATGTTGATCTTCTGGACGTTGTAATCTTTGGCAAATACTACGGAAGTCTGGCATGTTCTGGGAAGGCGTTCTTGTCGTTTCAGAAGTTGGGCTTCGCATATGGCATCGCTGTCGATTGGGTATGGAAGTGTGTTGTAACAGATCTTGGTTCGAGCTCTCAAAGTTTTGCATGACTCAAGGCTATTTATTGTAAGGTATAACAATGAATCATCATTTCGCGCAATGTATTTATTTGTTGTTGTTAATATTGAATGAAGACCTGTTCGATTATCCAGTATTGGTATTGGATAGATACGATATAAAGTATATTGTTCTGCATCAGTTAAAGGAATGTTTAAGACAAACACAATTCTTGTGTCTAATTGATAGGCTTGCAATTCGATAATATCGAGATATTGAGCTAGATTTGAAGTATAGATTGATAATGGAAGATTATTTTTTTGTAATGATTGTGATATATGCCTTAGCGATTCAATTAAATCAAACGGGGTTATGATTGAGCTATGTAATATTTTTAATCGAGCAAAGGTTATGGCATTTACTATTTCATTTAAAGAGTCTTCGATAAATGAATAGCTTTCCATTAGTAATTCACAAAAGTTTAGCATATCGATTTGAGATTGATAGAATTTTAATTGGTCAGAGATATCCATTATTGACTCTCGAATTTCTTTAATATTATTGTTGAATGTTTCCTCGTCTATTTGTAATTTCTGGATTGTGGCGTTAAAGTTTTTAATAACAGAAGTTGTAACCGATATTTGATTTTTCAATAAGTTTTCGATTTGGTATTCATCGCGGGTTATTTTATTTATACAATCATTGAAATATTCGCCATCTGACGAATCTAAGTTGCCGGTAATTGATTTCCATATCGAACCTATTCCGTTAATAAGTCCGCGTTTCTCTCGGAATGTGTATTGTTTCGTATCAGCCATTATTTCTGTATATTTGAGATTAACAGAACTAGAGATTTGTTTGAGAAGACTTATGTGAGTTTGGACTTCGGATTTAAATGCCAGCATTCGAGGTACATCTTCTTCAATGGTATCCAATAAATTTTCTAAGATTTTGTCATTTTTGTCGATAACGTCTCTGATTGGTTGCATGTCTTTATATACAAGGAGGGTCCATTTGTCGTTCGAAATTTTGAGATTGGTTTCTTCATGAAAAAAGATTCCAACAGTGTTGTTGATTGGAGTTAACGTATACTGGGAGAGGATGACTGGGATCAGTCCGAGGAATCTGAAAGAAAATTACTCATGATAGGGTTTTAATCTATCAAAATTTACTTTCATTGTTCTATTGGTTTGGGTATTTAATAAAGTAGCAGAATTTACGTGAATTTCTTGGATTTCAAAAGGGCCATTAAATTTATTTTGGGATTTATCTTTAATTTGCGATTCCTTGACGTAAACCTTATCGCCTATTTTATATTCTGGAGGGTTTGATGACACGTGTTGATCGAATCTTTCTTTAGCCTTTTCTTTTTGTCTTTCCGTCTTGGCTCGTGCCACTTTATAGAAGTATTGCATACGATTACTTAAGTCTCTAACGTATTTTGATATAAGGATTTTTTCATTGTAAAGTATTTCGGGTGGTCTAAAAGAAGTATGTCCGAAAATGAGTTCGTATGGTGTAAATCCGTGGGTTTTGTTTTTTGTGTTATTGTAGCAAATAACTGCATAAGGCAGAACATTGAAAGGATGTTCATCGGGATTTTCAGCTTGATTAGCTCTTATCATTTCGCTTAGGGTTGCGTGAAATCTTTCGATAGAACCGTTAGATTGTGGATGGCCCACACTTGAGAAGGTTAGTTTTATGTCGTACAATTCACAAAGATCTTTCATCAAAGCATTGTCGAATTCACGTCCATAGTCACAGTGTATGCGTAATGGTGTGCCATAGTGTTGGAAAAAGATAATAAGATGATTGACGACTGATTTAGCTGTTTTGTCTTCAAGAGGATACGCCTGTGTGAATTTAGTGAGCTCGTCTCGGATAGTTAATGCGTAATTTCTGGTAGGGTATTCGAAAAGATCTATGTTAATTCTTTCGAACGGTGTTTTAGGGGTTTCGGTGATGACTAACGGGTTACTTAAGTTTTTTCTACATATCTTTACTTTTTGACAGATTTCGCAATTTTTTATAAAATTTTCTACATCCTTTGTGATGCCTTGCCAATTATACTTTTCTTTTATTCTTCGTATAGTTTCATTTATACCCCGATGGAGATTGTTTTTGCCACAGTGATAGTGATCTAGTATTTGGGGTATTTCATCCTGTTCCGGAGTTTTAATAACATCTTGACAGATTCTCAGTTTTATTTCTTTATCGGCAAAGATAAA